ACAGAATACCACAGAAGAAGAAACGAGGCAGGGAACTCAAAGCCATGGATGTTTTCGCAATATTTACCGTGAAATATGGGAACTATCTTGGCAACAGAACATATTTTTTGTAGTTCTATAACAAAATATGGCTGTAACCTAGTTACACACGCAGAAAACAAAAACAAGCTCACAATTTGTTCCTGTTATGTTTCATCCCTGGTTACACCGCACAGGTTTATATTCATTAGATCTGGGAAGGAAAAAAAAAATGGTTTCAGAACGGCCGCAGCGCCTAAGTAGGCCAAAGCTCAACAAACGGCAAATATTCTGTGGTGAAATCTTATTTCCTGCTCCTCACACTGAAGCCGCTAACAGAGTACGCTTCAACATGCTGGTGATAAACTCTGAAGATGAACAAAAAAAAGAGCAAATTTTGACATTTCTGGCATCCAGCTGACACTGTCAGCTGGATGCCAGATCTGGATCAGCTGGATCTGACACTTTACATAATGTCAAAGCCTGGATATGCTGTGGTCCATAGTTACTGTTGGCGTAGCAACCAATGGAGGCGAGTCTGCTCGACTACTCTTTGTTTTGCTTTAATATTAGAGATTTGTTCATCAAAAAGATAGAGGTTTCTCAAACAATACGTTACATTGTGCTAAAAAAAAGAGAGAAAAGTCTCCATATAGATTAAAAATTCACTCAAACCAATATAATCTGGTATCCATAGTGTAAATTAATTAATTCCAACTTTTAGAAGAAGATGAAGAAACACAGCTTTTAAGCTTTATCAGGTTCATTTGTTCATTTTTATTTTGACCTATCGCTACACCAGGTTTTCCTAAAACTCCTCCTTAATTTGGACCTCTGCAGCCCTCACCTTACACTGTCAGCGATGCTCTAGTCACTCCTCCTTCTAATCCGTCTCAGAAGCCTGTGTTTGTTTCTCCTCACTTAGCGTATAGCTTACAGGGACTTTTGGGCTGAGCCAGGATCAGTTAGTGCCGGGATTTGACTAATTAGGATGATTGAGAGTGTTTACGTACATTTGTGCACATGTAAGTGAATATCAAGCACCCATTAGATAGATGTTAGCTTGGAAAGAGAGTTGAGTAACTCACTTAGGCAGCAGGACAAACAACCTAGTAAAAAAAAACGCCAGTCAAGTCGAGTTCACATGATCAGCAACCGGGCAGCTCACAGCGCTGCACGTCACACAGCAGTCAATTATGAAACAAGCAATAATATTACATTTCTTCAGGCAAATATACAGCAAATCAATGTTTACCAGGTGGGTTTTTAGGCTTGATTTAAAGGTTCTCAGTGTTTCGGCTGTTTTGCAGTTTTCTGGATATTTGTTCCAGATTTGTGGTGCATAGAAGCCGAATGCTGCTTCTCCATGTCTGGTTCTGGTTCTGCAGACCATATCCAGAAGACCTGAGAGGTCTGGAAGATTGCTACGACGACAACAGAAGACCTTTAATGTGTTTTGGTGCTAAGCTGATCAGTGATTTATAAACTAACATAAGTATTTTTTACATTTTAAACTATCTGTTTTGATCTAAGCATCTGTTCGGTGGATGGATGGGTTCAGAGTCACTTGGTGAGCTGCGTAGCTATGGTAACTAGTCTCATGAGCTAGTTGGAACATATTAAACACGTTAAATAGGAGGGGTCCCAGCATTGAACCTTGGGGTACCCCACATGTAACTGTTGTCTGCCCTGATGATAGACAGGCCCTATTTAACAATAAAGTGAATTCTTCCACTTTTATTCAGGGACGTCAGTGTAAAGGGTGCGGAAAACAAATGCATGCCAAACGTCTTTTTAGCTTTTTTGTTCACAATAAAATGCAAAAATTATGTTTTTCCAGAATTATGCCCTTTGTGTTGCTCTATCACACAAGAATGCAGAAATTAAATAATGTATTCGACAAAATGAGGTTAATTTTTAATGACATTGTATGAAACGTTGCGCAAAAATGTATTTATGCCAGTTATGTTCATCAAGCTCCAAGAGTTACATAGATCATTAAGCAGCATATGGAGATGTCGGTTGCGTCGGAGGTGAGTTTGTTTGTTTATGCACACATTAATGACACTCGACTGTTTGAATGGCAACAAAATATGTCATTTCTGAATTTTCTCAGGGCTGCAAAGTGGGGCAGTCAGTTTAATTGCAGAAAATAACAAGGATCCTGGATTAAATTTGGTGCCAAAGTGGAGTTCTCTCAGGGTACTCTGGCTTCCTCCCTCAGTTCAAAAACATGACTGCTAGGTGGAGGCATGGATTTCCCCACTGCTCTCATCCACATGGCATACATTTATTTATTTATTTATTTTTACAAAAACAGCAAATACTGTATAAAAAAAAAAAAAAAGATGTAAAGCTGAAGAATAAACGACAGAGCAAATTTCGAATATTTAACTTCGATTGAACTGCCCAAGCGTTTGTGCATCGACAACGATACGGATGGAGACAAAGTGAGACAAACGTAGAAGTGAGAAGAGACGCTGAGAGGGGAAAGGAGCGACGGAAAGAGGACATCCAATCAGGAGGCAGCAGCGGGCGCTCTGGGCAGCTGTGGTGTGAGCCACGTCTGATGCGTCCTGACAGCTGTGGACTCTGAGGCACGAGCAGTCTGTGAGTATATGAGTCGGCCGAGATCAGTAATACGTTTACAGTGCAAAGGTTGCATGAGCATTTACATAACTCTACTCTTCGGCATAGACACCAACAACCTTCTGTATGTTTGTTGGACCAAAGGGGAAAAAAAACAAACAAAAAAAAACACTATACATACATTTGTTTTCTTTTCCCAAACCCTCTCAGCGACAAGAGGGTTAGAAACCTGACTATATGAAACCATAATTAGACAGTTTTAACGCACTTATTCAGAGTTTAGCAAAAGGGTTCATCCCCCTGATTTTTATTTTTTTAAACTATAGTTTACTTTATTGGGATTTGAGTTGATAGAACAGCGTAATCACAATGAAGGGGAAAGAAGTTACTAATGTTTTAAAGTATTGAGCACCAAAACATTTTGAATGATATTAATATTTATTGTGACATTGATGTAAAGTGTCCTGTCTGGCAGGAAGGCTGACTGACCTTATTTGATCAAATCTACCTATTTATATGAATAAAGTTGATTGAACCAATGTGTATATGGGGAGATTAAATTACAGTTGACCTCTCATGTGATGAATAAGAGGAATCAGCCTTAAAAAGAAACTGAATACAAATAAACTACTTTTTTTTCCTCTTTTTAAATGACAAAAATGAAAACGGTAAATCTTCCTCCATCCACTTTGCATTCGTGGAGAACTTTGTGTTGCTCCATCACATAAAAATCCCACAGAAATACATTGAAGCGTGTGCTTGGTTGGTGCATAATGTGGGAACTTTCTACTAAATATACTTCATAAGAACTTTTGAAGCACAGTCATAAAATTAGATTAAAGCTTTTATTTGCAGATTGCAGAATAAAAAAATATTCTTGAAAAATACATTGAATAAAAACATTAGATCAAAAGAAAGAATACCACCCAACAGACATTTCAAAGGTATATTAAAGTTAGTAAAATATTGAAGCTTCCCACTAAAAAGACTCCAACTCTTTGTTTGCCTCAATTAGCTAATGAAGGACAACAAAGCACCTCACCTTAATGCTTATTTTCTTAAGCCGCTTGAGTCTTCATTAAATGGCTTCTGTGTCAAAGGCAGTTTAATGACACAGGCTTCCTGGTGTCATCTGAGCCAATGGCTCCCAGGAGTTTACTACATTTTTGCTACAATGCTCCATACACTTTAAGAGAAATACCAATTTAGACACGTAACAGCCAATCCAAAGGCTTTGAGGGTTATTTCAGGCTTTCCTCTACTATGGTTCTGCGACCAGGTTATGAGTTGTACTCATCCTACCTGGAGTCCGAAACTGATCAACAGCTTTAGCTTGGTTAAAGAAAGAAGTGCAGCGCTCAGAGCAAATCAGCACAAGGCTCAGTCCAAAGCATATTTCTGCATCCATAAAATCATTTTCCAAACTAAAAAAAACAAAAGACAAAAAAAAAACAACTAACAAAAAAATTAAAACGCTCCTGTGGTTCCATAAAAATGCAGTTTAAAACATTTTACAATGTTCAGAACATATTCCAGGAATAGAACGTGTTAAGTATAGGCTGTGCTTTTTGCATCCAATACAAACAGACAGCGGAGTAAAAACTAGAGCCGCAAAGCATAAGGAAAACATAGGATTTTGCGATGGGGTTATCGATTGTGATGAATTCACGTTTTCCCTCTTTTCCAACATCAGTTATCCCTCCCTCTGATCCGAAGCACCTTCATCACTAAAATCTAAAAATAATCACACCAGTGTTGCCAACTTAGCAGCTTTGTATCTGTATTTAGGGACTTTCTAATAAAAAATATAAAAAATTAGTATCGGCCAAAATCTGGATCAGCAGATCAGCTGCAGCTCTAACCTAAAGGAGAGCAAAAGTTAATTTAAGTAGAAAATACATTATGTGGCTGGAAATAACTGATTATTTACTTCTTCTGAGTGGTGGAGGTCTGATTAAAAACCCAATGCCATGATGAAAACAGTGAAAACTACCATGTGGTTCTGGCAGCATGTTGGTTACCATGACAACAAAGAATGAGCTAGTGGTCAGACATTACTGACCAAGGACTTGCACTGAAAATTTGAGGAAAATCATCCTGCTGTTAGGCAGGAAAAGGTTTTATAGGTGCTGCTTTCCTCCAAAGTGCTCTAACACAAGCAAGAGAAAGACTTTTACATTTCATTGCATATTATGTCTACATAAAATGGAAATAAATTACTTGCTACAGGTTAGTGCTTCATTTTATAGATTTACAGGAAGCTAAGTGCACTAAATGTTTTGAAATTTAGCAAAAACATTAACAGGCTAAATAAATAAAAAAATTAGCTCCACCATTAGCAAATTAGCATTAGCATGATCTCTACTAGATGTAAAGAACTTTACTTCAGAATCTTTGGAGGATGTGTTATTTATTGAAGCAAGCTTCAAGGAATTCTACTCAATCACAGAGGTTGAAATTTGAATCGACAAACAACGTAATATTCCACTTAATCATGTTTGCAAACGGAAGTGCTCGGGTAAAAGGCTAACTAGGCACTAGCAATGCAAACAACAAAATATTTAACATGATGTAAACTCCAACACCACAGAAATATGTTCATGAGGCTGGTGACTTGAGGAACGAACCAACAGTGAATTATGGCAAATATTAATAACCACATGGAAGCCATTTTGGATTTTGGTTCTGAGTGAAAACAGCAACTTCAGCAGTCGTTCCTCTCGTGACTCCTTAGTACTGACAGAACGCACCGCATCTCGTTTAGAAAATATAACACCAGTTTGAGGAGGACAGGCCCCAACCATTGTTACAGTCAACAGATTCCTTTCAAAAATAAAATCCAGAATGTTGTGGTATCCAGACGGACGGCGGTTAAGAATGAAAATGGTTTAGGTATGGGCCCAAAGGCAGCGGGCCAGCTGAAAGGTTACTCAGTGCAACCCGGTGATTCATAAACCGGGTATTCAGGCCGCAGCTGACCGTGAGTCAGCCCGAACACGCAGGCCCCACACGGGACACACAAACCAAGTCACTTAGATAAACGTTTTTGGAAAAACACCACAAATTCAACCCTTTTCCGCCATAGACGACAAGCAAAGCACAATTATTATTATCTCGTAAATTGTATCCTCTTGCTGTCAGTCCCCGGGCTGCAGCAGCAGCACCAACAAACGCTCTCCGGATCAGCGGGACCGAAGTGAACGCTTTGATGATTTCCATGTGAGATTAGGAGGAGAAAGTATGGCGAGATTAAGGGAACCACTGTTTGTTTTGAGTCGTATTCATGCTCCAGTTGATTAATCTGTGCGGCTTACAAAAACGCCCGAGCTCCGGAGCTCCGTTTAGCTGGCAAATGCTTCAGCCTAGTGGTGAAAACTGTGAACTGCAGCTGCGGCGAAGCTTGTTCTGATCAACATTATCCTCCACCCGTTGACATGAACTGGGACCCTTGCCTTGAATTATATGTGTTTGCAGGGCGGATATCATCTGAATGTTATTAAGAGTTTGTGGAAAAGCAAAGCGTGGCTTACAGGTCAGAATCCAGGTCACCATGACACGATTTAGCTCAGATTTACCTGAATTTAATCCGGTCTGCACAGCGCCCCTCCTTGTTCAAGAACTACAAGTGAGCAGCAGTATTAAGGCCTACCCAAAGTAAAACAGCTCCAGCATAAAACTGGCTTCTAAGTTAGCCCTGGAGCTCAGTTTACAAGAAGACAGAGGGAAATTCTCTAACAGAAGGTCTATAATCTGTGTTTTGTTCCCAACAACAGGTCAGGAAAATCTGCTAATTCCTGTTATTTTGGGGGCAAACAGTCAAAGATTTTAGGCCACACAAAGCAGAGTGATAATTGTTTGCAGTCTGTGCATCGCTGTGAATCTAAGTGCTTCGGCCTGCCAACATAAGCATGTAATCCAAGGGTTTAACTCAGATAACTGATAATCCAGCTGAGGCTTTTATACAATATATGACTGATCTCCGACAACATGATTTAGATTATAGTGAAGGAAGTCCATGAAAAGACAGCTGAGAGAAACTGAGCAAAATACAAATGTCTTCTCTGCTTGAGTCCTGGTTGGAAAGTTTAATATGTGCAAAAATAATACAATTTAACCAAGTATTTCTGGTCTAGTTTCTACTGTAAATAGATGAGGGAGTATTAGGGCTATAATAGAACAAATTAAAATGACAAGAATAAGGTCATAATACTATCAGAATATTTCAAATGCACCAAGATATTTCCACTAGAAACAGGACCAAAAATACTTGGTAATATTTTGTGTTTTTGCAGTGTAGATGTTCCTGTTTCAACCCAATGGAGTGTCACTCGGCCTTCAGTCTCTGTGAAGGGGGTTTGGGTTTGTAATGCGTTATGATTTGAATCAAGATGAAACAGTTGACGACCAAGAACAGCAATCCGGCGAGCCAGACCAGGACAAAAGTGTTGACGCCTTCGAATTCCAGGAAGTAGGCAGGGGCCAACCACAGAGCCTGTGTAGGGAGAAAACCCGATGAAGCACAGAAGAAGAAGCCTGAAAATGTAACTTAACTTTGTGTTTTCTGTTTTTGCTGGTCAGTTTATAGCAAGATATAAATGGAAACTTTCAAAATTTCCTTCAGATGCGAGTATTTCTCACAAGGTTATAACTGTAACTTCTTTAGCAAGCAATTTTTTTAAGTGTTTTGGGTAAAAACAGACATATTCAGGCAAAGGTTTGGCGCGGCCTTAGCAAGATGCTCTGGTACAGCGCGGCAAATGTCACGGTCGGACAGCTGGGGAAGCAGGGCAGGGCGGGGAGGGGGGGGGTTGTCCCGTAGGACAGTCAGTTTCCAAAAATTAACAGTCAGAAAAAGAAAAAAAAAAAACCACACTTGTAAAAATGCATACAGTGTCAGTGTGACCCCGTTGGACCCCGTACAGAGTAAAAAAAACATGTCTCTTAAGCATTAAAGCACTATCAATCTTTTTGCAAGCATGTTAATTATCAATGACAGCTTCTACTTGTTGTGAAAGTTTGTTGAAAATGAGAGAGAAAAAAAACATTAAAAATATAAATTTCAGATGGTCAGAGCTACGAGAGTTGATATGAATTGTCCCAACAATAACATAAATAACGTGAAGGTGAATTACCTGTCCGGCGAACCAGAGCAAGAGCAGACCCAGACCCTTTTTCACTGACAGAGTCAGGTGTGGGATGACCAGAGGCAGCAAGCACAGGTACCACAGGAAGTACTGGAAACGGAAACAAGTCAGGATCTGTTAATCAATATAATATACTCTCTGTTACAGCAGGGTTAAAAATATTTGTCACATAAACTACAGGACAAAAACATTTAAGAAGCTTCCTGAAAATCCACATGGTTTTTGGTGGATTTTAGGATGTGTTTGATGCACAATGAGTTCAACAATGGTTTTGTTGAAAATGTTCCAATTCCCTTCATTTACGTTAAGGTATAAAACCCTAACCATTCAGTTGAAAAGTAAGCAAACAAATCACAGTCTAAGGAAGAAATACCCCAAATATCTGAGAATTAATATAAAAATGTATGTCAACGTCATCTTAATTATGAAGCACTTTAAAAACATCAGCTGCACTAAAGTGCTGAAAAAAAACAGCAAAATAAACAGTAATAATAATAACAACAAAAGAGTAATAAAATTATCCTATAAAAAATAAAAACACAGATAAAACATGTCAGGTTCACATTTAGTGGTAAGTAGTATGAGGAAAAGCAAGCGGAGCTGATTAGTAGTAACTCTTTTAATGCAAACGCTCCATTAAAAAAAATATATATATATATATTCAATTTCCACAAGGCTAAATAAAAAGCCCACATTTTCTTCATCATCAAATCAGACAATTAAAAATAAGTTACATTTTAACAACATACATTTAATTATATTAAACCCATACATTTTTAGACTTTTTTTTTGTCTTGAGTTCTTTTTTTCAACATCGTAGACATTAAGAGAAAAAAAATTTAAGTATAATTTTTGAACATTGGTCATTTTATCCTGTTGCAAAAGCAAAGCAATATCCAGTGTTTTGTTTGTCATTTTAACCCGACCCAGGTTTTATTTCGGCCATACGACTGAGCATGCATTTAGTCGTTACGTCCGAAAACATAATACTGATGGGCAACGTTAAAAAACATCAAGGTATGACGTGACAAATAAAAGATAAAGATGTTATTGAAAAAAAAACAACAATTAATTTCATTAAGAAATAATAAACTTTTGCCTATAAAAGCATATAAAAAATAAAAAGATCTTAAAAAATATTTTCAAAAACTCAATTTTATTTTTTCATACTTCATCAGACATACAATACTGCTTAGGAACCCTGACTTAAGGATACATCTGGAGTGGTCTATAACTTGTGTTACCTGTGAAGTGCACACTTTGTTGAAGGAGACGAAGATGGCCGTATTGAGGAAACAGGCAAAGGCCAGGTCATGGTGAAAGCTCCAGGATGCCACCAACAGCAGGAGGAGCTGTGGCAGAAAGGCTGCCAGGCCGAGCCACTGGCTCCCCCTGCTGTCTGAAAGCAAGAAAGGCAAAAGAATGAACCCAAGATATTGTACACACCTGCACCACATGTTCGTTTATTCAGTCTTGAACTTAAAAAGAAAAACTGCTTGGATTTAGCTCCTATTTTCTCATAAGCTCAGACCAGAATAAGAACTGTCCCCCCATCACCACCACCATGCCTAGTCTGATGAGTACCTGCAGTAAGGTAGAGCATGTAGAAGTACGGGGAAAAGTTGTGCTTGATGTCCCTTCTTGTCAAGTGGTACAAGTACGTCTCATGAAGAAACGACCAGCCATACCTGCATCCACAGCAGAGGAGTCATAACTTTTGTTTTTCTGCCCCCTTTTTTTTTACAACTTCTAACAACAGATGATGAAGAACAATGCTTGTACTATGAAGTATATGAAAATAAACTACGTCATATACAACATCCTGGAGAGAAGTGACTAAATCAAACCTTTATGTGTTTGCCTCACATGTAATAGAAGAGTGCCGTGAACACGGAGAAAACTCCTCCGGCCACAATTCCAAAGAGGATCAGGTCGCGGCTCAGGAAACTTCTGAGAAATAGGACACATTTCTTCCACGTCCGCGTCGGTTTGCCTTCCGCTGATCCCGCCTCCGGCGCTCTCAGGGTCAGAGCAATGGGCAGGGCATACGTTATGGGATAGATCTTCATATGAACCGACAGGCCGTAGAGCACGGCTGCCCACACCAGATGCCTGGCTAAAAGGAAAAAAAAAATGCATCAGCACATGACAGCAGCAGTGACATCCATCTAGTCTTTATGGAGGCATTAAACTCCCAGAGGGTTCATAGATTCCTTACTATTCGTAAGGGTTGAAATCAGATTAATTATATTAATAGTGATTAATCAGTTATTGAAATAAACCCCAACTAAATTAGTAATCAATTTATCTTTAACTGAAGTATACAAAGACACAAAAAACGCAATTTCCTGAAAGAACAACAAACTCAGAGCAGTAATTAAGCCAAACTTGTACAAAAAGTTGCATTTAAGACATATATATATATAAAAAAACATTTTTCAGTAAATATGTTCTACCCAGAACTCAAGTGCCATATGTTTAACTCAACCTGGTTTACATTCAGCGAAAGAAAAAATAATTGCTCTCTTATTAAGTACTTTTTGCTACATTGTACTGATGTTAAGTCATGCATAAAGTTTTCACATGCTGATGTTAGAAGTAAAAAGTATCAACAATTGATCAAGCTTACACTAAAGGAATCCTATGTTATTGCATTTAAGACAGTACAATGTTTATGTTCTTTTTTTTAATATGTGGTTATTTTTAATCTTCTAATGTCTCTTTAATAATGTCAAAAATGCTTAAGGGGTTAAATGAAAAATGAGTATAATGTGCTAATTGTTTTTATCCGATTAATTAGTCAGAATAGTCGATATAACAATCTATTACTCAAATAATCTTTAGTTGTAGCCCTACCTTCCATACAAAGCAAAGTCCCGAGCACCAGAGCTGCCAGGATGGATTCAGCGTTCCCCCGACTCGACACTCCCATCGGCAGAGGGTTGAGAAGCCAAAGAGAACACACACAGGTTGCAGTCTAAAAATAAACGTAAGGGAACGGATAGCATTTTTCTTATCTAAACAAGCAGAAATCAAAGAATAAAAAAAGAAAAAAAGATGTTGACGGGTCAAACCTTGCAGTCTAGACCTCTCAAACACAGAGTTCTGTAGATGAGCAGTCCTGACAGCACGTCACATAAAATGAAGAGGAGCTTTCCAAACACCATGCAGACGTAGATGTTTGGGGTGAGAAGCCAGGCCAGCAGAGGGGTGTAGCGGTAGGTCGACCTGTTGTACGGAGACTCGCCCTGTCCAAAAAATACAACACAAAGATTTCTGTTCATAAAATGAACGAAAATAGCAAGCTTCATTTAGACAGCCACAATATTACAATCTTTGACATACAAATTGGAATACATTGTCGTCCTCTGCTGACACCTGGTGGTAGGTATGATAAGCGAGGTAGAAATTTATGTTAAGTTAAGGCACGCTAAGTACTCTGAAGGAACAAAATGTATACATATTTTACATCTTATAAAGTGACAACGTTTTTAGCTTTGCTTAAAATTTTCAATGTATTACAAAAGTTGTAGAGATGATATGGAATGCAGTTGATTCAAATCCGAGAAGCAAAACAGAAAAAAAGGCAATAAAACTTGCTCCCTAGCTTTGAGTTTTGTCATTCTTTAAAACGGATCAGCAGCTGATAGAAGGGGAGTAGATACCTGTGTGATGAACCTGGCAGCATCTGTGAACACATGGTAGTCTATATCCGTGTACTTCACCACCATAGTTCTGTCCTGGTAGTCTCCATAAGCTACCAAAGCCAGTCGGAGAGCAAAGGAAGCCGGGAAGAGGACATGTTTGTCGGGGAGCTTAGAAAGAAGCGTCTCCATCATCAGGCAGACAAATTCATTCTATTTAGCAGTAATGAATGACCACAGCTCAAACATGACAACCCGGAAGTCTGAGGGATGTAAACAACGTCTTCTTCCTGGATCTTTAGAAACTCTTTGCTCTGCTGCCACCTTCTGGAGTGGGGTAAGTACTACAACATAGACCTTACTCTCCGTAACTTTAAATAGCTGCACAATTTCCCCTCTGGTCCGCCATCACAATTATGATTTATACCCCACATCATAATCGTATCAAATACAAGTTTTCTTTTGGAAATAATACATATGGAAGCACCACACTGATGAGTTGATTTAAAGGTACTTATTTTACTGTAACATTTATTGTGAATTTTGTTTAGTTCTTTGTTATTCTGGCAGATTTGAATTTTTTTTGTTCGTAATATTCAAATTTTAAAGATTCTGTCCAGGGCTGTATTTTTTCCACTAAAATATGTACTCTTAAAATTAAAACAAAACCGAATGTTGACATGATTCCCATTACAAAATTTAAGAAAATACAATAAATAAGCACACACAGATTTGTTTGTTTGGGTCAATGACATCACAAGGGGCACAAAAATTTACCTTTTCAAACGTTTTGTTATATTAGGTAGTTACACAGTGAGAATCACATACAGTCCACACAGATAAATAGCTAACAATGCAAGTTCAGCCTGTACATCGAAATTAGCTTAACCAAATAAATAATATTCATATTATTATTAATAACATGAACTTACACAAACAATGTGAATGTATTGTGAAGTGTTTTGGAGTCCACTAGACTTGAAAAAAAGCGCTATTCAAATACAGACCATTTACCTTTAATGTCCAAGGAGCTTCGACAAACTAATAAAGTCAAATGTGACAAACAACAAAGTCCTATAATACAACATTTAATTCAACAGAACAAAAACGTTCTGATGAAGTCACATTTCCCAAATCTAACCCAAATCCCAGAAGTTCTGGATGCAAATAAACCACACAAGACAGCAGATTTGAAAGTTTCACTTTTATTCCTCATGCGGGAGTTCAGGGGTGCATTACGATGATTTACAGATCTGATACCAGTAAAGCTTCATGTAGTCTCTCTTCTCCTTTTGGTTCTGCATCAAGTGTGAAGCGATTATTTATTCCAATGCTTGTGAAGATAAAGTGCTAAGAATGTTGCAATTATGCTGCCATTTTGCATTAGGTAAAATTTTTAAAAGGCCAAATTTTTAAAAGGACACATTATAAGTTAAACCAGCTGCAGCAAACAGGGCTGTAAGGCATTACATACATTAACAAATACACCCGCAACGGATGTCGGGTTTAACAGTGGAAGAAACTTTAGCAAGGCACTTAGAGAAGAGGTAAAACCCAACTTGTACACAGCAGTGTTAAATACACCGGATGGAAACCTGAGGTGGGATTAGCGAGAGGGAACTCTACACCAGCTCCTCTCCCTCACTCAGATCCATTTTGATGTAACCTCCCTCCTGTTCGGACACGTCACACTAAACGACCTCACACAGGCGAGCAGTAGCGGCCAGCGAAGAGAACGCTCTTGGAGGGGTTGTGTCGGATGAAGAAGAGGAAGGGGTGGTCCGCAATGAAGGTGGCGGGGATCATGGCGCAGCGCAGCATCATGACGGCGGCGGTGGCAGCGGCGGCCTCAGTTCCCTCCTCATTGACTTCCACGAAGGCCTTGTGGTAAACCTCAGACACAAACAGGTCGTTGGCCGGGGACATGCCTGTCGGAGCAGAGAGGGACCGAAACGTTTAGATGGTAAAAGAAAAGACACAGAGAATGAGTCAGGAAAAAAAACTATCTGGAAACACGTCCTACCAGAAAAGTCGCTATTTGCCTGGTCGAAGGCGTCCACCATGCCCATGCTCATCAGGACGGCCTTCATGTCGTATTTCTCCTCCAGCTTGAACCGAGGCAGGCCCACCTGGACCTCGATCATATCCATCATGTCTGGATTGGTCCAATCCATGAACTTCTCATACGTCAGCGTCTGCTCAAGCTTAAGGTTGGACACAGATAAAGTCAATTCCTTGGGCTCATTTTGCACGTCGTTTTCTGGGCTTTGCAGGATTAAGTACCTACCTTCTCCAGACCAGTCGTACCCTCCATGTTGTTGGGTAAAAAGATGAGCATGCTCAGCTCCTTCCCTTTGTATGGCATCTCCAGGATCTGTAAAACAGGGTTTTTATTTTTACAATGTCGTCTGGATGAAGGTTGTAGATTCTCCCACCTGCGCTGTGAATCTCTGCAGTTACCTGGCAGGCGACTTCTGAGATGTAGGTCAGGGGAAACTTTGATTTCATGTGCATCATCTTCACTGGCTTTTTCTCATTCTAAAAAAAAATAAAAAAAATGGTAGAACAAAATCGTGTTCATGCGCAGAAATCAGTAAAACGTTATTGATTACACTTACATAATATATAGGAATCAGACAAAGGTCTAAATAGGTCCATAAATTTCTATTAGTTTATTAATCCCTGAAAGTGTTGTCACAAAAATATACTGTTCAAAAAAATAAAGGGAACATTTCACTTTAATTTTGTGTGTGGCTCCAAATCCAGGCCTCCATTGGTTAATAAATTTGATTTCCATTGATGATTTTTGTGTGATTTTGTTGTCGGCACATTCAACTTTGTACAGAACATAGTTCATTCATTCAGATCTAGGATGTGTTATTTGAGTGTTCCCTTTATTTTTTTGAGCAGTGTACATTAGAAATCTGCTGCTGTTCTGGTTCTGCTCTGCAACCCCAGAACCAGAACCAAACATGGAGAAGCAGCGTTCAGCTTCTAATGCGCTTTTTGTTTGCCAAAGGAAACTAACATTCAGTCTACGTTATAGCTGATGAGTTGTTTTTTTCTCCACACCGACAGAGGTCAGGTTGCTGGATGGCAGCGTTACCTTGTTGACGCTGAACTGAGCGTCGCGGGTGGCGTCCACCTTAAACTGCTTGTCCCAGTGACCTTTGAAGTAGATAGCATTGACCAGCACCAGCCGGGTCATCGAGTTCACTGCGTCCTGGGCCAGGATATCCTTAATTTTACCTGGTGAGAAACAATGCAAATAAACTGGTAAAAAAATAATAATTAGCACATTAATTAAACAACTATATATATATATATATATATATATATATATATATATATATGCAATAAGTATAAAAATGAATACAAAATAATAAAAAATAAAAAAAGAAACATATATGAGTCAAAATCGCAAAAAT